ATATATATATATATATATGTTTTATTATAGTTTAAGCTTGCTGTGTGAAGAAAAAGAAGCAACATTTCTGGGGTTAACTTGTGCTGGAAAACAGAATGATACCGCTGCCCAAAAGTGAAATCACGCAGTCACTATTGTTCTGCATGAAATCATCAACAGTATTACGTGCAACTACAACAAATGCTGGATCTTTAAAAATGGAAAAGTTTTTCAACTTGATGGGTCGCATGGGTCATTTCATTGTAAAAACACGAAAGCTCGAAATGTGATGGTAAGTTAGAAACAAATTTGGTCAACCGAGATCAAAAGGCACCACTTTCCACTAACTCATCTTCCCAGTTTTCTCATAGAAAAAGCACTTTTTAAGCAAATTTTTTGTATCACCCTTACCTGATTCCAAAGTGTCAGATTCGAACCTATTTTATTTGTAAGCTGGGATTTAGTCGCTGAGCATAAATAGCAATAACGGACACAGAAAGATCAATGTAATATGTTTATAGTAAACAGACTTCTCTTACCTCTAAAGAAAAACAGTGAACGTTGGAAATTAAAGCATATCCCAAGCATATATGGCCATTTGACAGTACCTTAATACATATTCGTACCACAAATGTAAATTTTACATTGGGAAAAGTGTAGTTCATTTCGCTTACTACATCACATGTGCAAAAAGTGAAGATGTCCTCCTTGACTATTTATCCCGCGAATTTGTCGCGCTTGGCATTTTTCTAGCCAAAAAACAAGGGAATAGGAAGTAAAGTCACGTACCCTCGAAAAGCAATATTTCAACTATTTTCAACCCGAAGACATGAGTCGACTCTAAAATCAAGGTTGTAGTTATCTTCATATTTCTCACAGATTTGAAGAAGTCGTGGAGATTGAACTTCATATATGTACCTGTTGTTTTTGCTGGAGAAATTTTTCTAAGTTTTCTTCGTATATCTGCGTGTTATCCTCTGGTTCGACCAGCTCCAGCTCATAGCCTTGACGCGCGCTTTCGTCGATGACGGTTGCATTGAACGCTGATGGGGCACCAATTTGGAAGGTAAGGTCCGGACTTTCGAATACAGGTGACTACGAAAGCAAACCAAGTCAAATATCCACCGTAGATACTTTACTGCCTGTACTGGTTAGAATTACTAGAGATAGATTTTCGTCTGATCTTTAATCGTTAGACGCTGTGACCAATAGAATACACTATTTTTTACAAATCGATTGAATCCAGACAGAACAACTGTAACTAGACATGCCTTTACTTTTAATTCTACGTTTATGAAGCAGCGGAAAACGTTCAAATTGAATAATCTCAGCGGATTTGATCGAAACAAAAAAAATCCAATCAGGGTTTGCTAATTACGCGTATAGATACCTTATTAGCAATCCACAACTTGCGGACATTGATGTATAGTAGATCGAAACATAGCACCGAATTCCCACGTTAGCAAAAGTTTGCTAATAAAACAAAAAAACTGGTATACGTTTTTAAAAAGAAAGGAAAAATTTACAGTGTAGCAAAAGTTTGGTAATAAAACAAAAAAACTGGTATACGTTTTTAAAAAGAAAGGAAAAATTTACAGTGTAGCAAAAGTTTGGGTAATAAAACAAAAAAACTGGTATACGTTTTTAAAAAGAAAGGAAAAATTTACAGTGAAGGTGGCACACACGCGACTACCTAATGTACAACGCGAAATTTCGCTTATAAATATATAATACCGGCGGATGTCTTTCTGCTAATTGCACCAGTCAAGAATCTTACAAAAAATCTATTTGATAGAGCGCTCGATTTTTAGACCAGCGTCATTCATTCAAATCCATAGAAACTAAGTAATATACTTGTATCGTTCTAATATGACTGATGCAAAAGGAATTTTGCGCAGCTAACCAAGAACTATCTTAGAGAACTGTCGTTCCGCAGCTTCGAACGTACAAGACACAAGCAAATGATAAGTACTGAAATTGAACATACATGCAAATGGAACTACGGAGATAATTGCGGCGAAACACCTACACTATACGGCTGCTTATTTTCTGGTCGGCCCTGACGCCCTCGAGATTTGGGCCGCTGTCTCCTTAAAGGGCTCTCAGACTGCGGTCGTCGGCGCGTTGGAGGAGTCAAACCTGCTGAATTATCTGCAACGTTACTCCTCGCAGAGGTTTCCACAGCATGGATTTCGAACGAACTTTTCGAGGTTCTCGAGCCTGACGACGGAGATTTAATTTTTTCTACCGCTGGCTCCAGAGTTGCAACAGATAGCATGTTAGAAAAATCGTGACTATTTTTCTATTCGATAAAAACCACTTACTCTTATTTCGATTTCTGTAAATTTATAGATTGCCGTTTTAAATTGCTTTATGGCCCTTAAATGGCCAAAGCCTGGCACTTCCAAGAGCTATTTGAACATTATATATAATCATTATTGTGGAGGCTTCAGTTTGCTATGAGAAAGCTTCATTATGCTATGATGCTCGGCAAAATAATTAGAAGATAAAGAACTCGTTTTTCAAACGGATCAAGTAGATGTAGATTTCATTCACGGGGCATTTTTCTAGTAGGATTCGACGAACGTTCTCTTCATGGTCACAATATAATCTCAGTATGATAGGGTCGGTGATATGGAGTGTTTACTGAACAGAATACCCCGTAGGCACATGTGTGTACCCATACGATACATGTTCGCTGGTTTCTTATGATTTATATTCATTGATCTCCCATGCAAGTTATACAATGATCACTATATTTATCAAATAATTTCACCTGTTTTTCAGCCTTGTCGCTTTCGATATGAACTTGCTGCTTATCAGACTTGCCACCAGAAGAAACCCTCTTGGGCCTAACCTTACGACCTGTCCTCGAAGGCGTCGGTTGAGAAAGTTTGTCGACAGTCTACACGGAAATCGAGAGGTACCGACTAGCAATAGTAATATAATAACGATAATAATGGTACGATCCTATCCATCGCTTCTTTGATTATATTTTACGTTACTTCGGTACCCTAAAATATATCATTATCAGGCCCTGTTCATAGTTTACTGGTTCTTGGCCATGCGGCCGGGCACCATTATAGCTGAAAGCACATTTTCTATTGAATGCAAGCAACATGTCAGACAGGTGTGGAGGCGAAAATAGCTACGACGTATTATCCATAAAATCCTCTGACTTTTCAGCTCGAACCATTTTACTTCGATAGCGGGATCTATGTATCACTCGAGCAACAGTCTGGCATTAGTTTAACAAAGAAAACCCCTATAGTGTTCACCTACAGTGATTCACTGTGGTATAAATAGGTAAATAAACTACTCGAGAGTTGCACGACCTCTAGATTACTAGTTGAATGCTAACAAGCATTAGTAATACATTAAAAAATCAGTGACATAAAACATACCAAATTACAACCTCGTCTACCGTTTCCGCCCATAAACCATATAAGATCGAGAAATGCAAGTAAGTTACTTTAGAAAAAAAACCATGTAACACCACCAGCTTTAGTCCAGTTTAATTGGACGGGTGGCTACAATGGAACACGTCTCATCTAAAATACAGATGTATAAAATTAAGAGTGCATAAACAGCAAACATTCGAATTCAACTGCCTGTCTTATTGGCACGTAACGTAATAGTCCTAACTAACTTGAAGTTAGTCTAGAAACCTAACTCGAACTTACAAATGTAACAAACGCCCATTTAACTCGCTTCGCACAAAGGGAAATCGGATTTGTTTGCGATGGCGTTTCGGATTGACTAAAGGAACATTTATTTTCTTATTACAGAGGAATTTAAGAATTAATATAATGCTGACTATAAAATAGTATCACGCCAACTATTATTTGATCTATAGGTTTCTGCTTGTATGAACCAGCACCGGAAGAAATAATAAGCTCCTTTAAAATTATTCGTTTATGGCCTCGGATGTTATTTCGTTAAATATTTTTAGGAATCTTCAATATAGAATAGCATCATAACGATCCAGCGGGAGTGTTCCATACTGAACTTCTAATACATTGCACTCACTGACTTTGCCTCACCTGGCCAAGACCCTGATTTTTCTGTTGTATATGAAATGCATCACCGGACATTGCGTTTTCATCATGCAGTACGACATCTGCCTTGGCATCGGCTCGTCTAGCTGGAGGCAACGAACCTGTTGAGGCTGAATAAGATCCATTAATATCCTCACTACTTTTGTCACTCATTAAAATCAATTTTTTTTTATCGATTTAGCAGTTAATTGACAGCTTCGTTTTTATCAACGACGAGCTTTTAAGGGACGAAAATCCCACTGTAGTAGAAAACGCTTGGCATGTCTTTTAAGAAGATCTGGACCCCATTTCACGTTACCTGGGCTAAACCGAGGCAAAATATGTTCTCTGTTTAGTCGTTCGGCAATGTCTTGAGGCGTAGATGCATTTTCAATTATACGCATGAAACAATCCAGCGCTACCAGCAATCCCCTTGATGATATCCGCTTTTGTCATGCCCTCCCGATCTCAAATCCTTTGTTTTTCATCAGCCCATTTCAGTATCGAAATTGAAGTATGAAGCCAAATACGATAATCATAAATACGTTGATCTAGATATAAGTTATTCTATAGCCAATAAGCAGTGCAAGATATATATGCATTTCAAGTTATAAAAGTCATTGGATTGTACCGACACGATCCCCACGGATTCAATTTTAGATAAAGTATGCAGCATTTTGTGCTTTTATTGGTCTAACCAAATTAGCTTCTCTGGACACAGTGTAAACGGTCGAATCATAAAGATTAATGTATGCATTTTATGTTATTTGCCGCAAACAGTGACACACAACAACCAGTTAATATCGTCTGTCCTCGTATGAAATCAGCAATGTCTGTAGTCAGTGTTCCCTCCGTCAACGCTTCATCGCCGTATTTCCACGTGGAGATGACCTACAGCACGTCTGTTTAATAATCTGTGTGCGACGTATCTGAAGTATCTGCTATATTTCTAATGTTCAGAACACCGAAATCTTGGTGGAAAAAGGTCAGGTCTTACTGGTCTTTATTCCACGGTTATCATGACTTATACAAGATGTGTGATAAGCTGCAGCAATTTTTTCAGTATTTCCAACGTTGTAAGAATAGGCGTAAATAACTTGCAAACAAGATGGCTGATGGTCACAACGAAATTAACCGACAAGTAACATGTTCGGAACGAACGGACCTTGTGCCCAATGCGGTAAGAGGTCGTCCATTTCGCTGCATTCTTTAGTGATGAACTATATTGTTTTTGACTGAAATCGACATGTAGTTGGCTTATGAAAACTTTCGAGCTGTGTGGGGCAGTCAGTCGGATAATCAGTAGAAATGTTCTATATCAATTACTTCACCCCTTCTCTTATAAGTTAATATAAATTTCCGTATCGAAATGGCAATAGTTATAGCTAATAACAATAATAGTAATAGTGAAAAGAATTATGGCGTTCGCAAAATGTAATTTTAATGGTGCAAGTCGTCAGAGATAATTTTCCTTCATAAAAGTGCATATTTCATATATTTTCCAAAAATAAGGGGCATTATACGTTCTATGGAAGTGACAAATTAATTTTTTATGGTGGCTCAGACTACGCTGATCCATTCTCGACTTGTGTGGAAAAGCTGGAGTATCGACCGACACTCGACATAGGATCATTACTAAACAGGATGAATAATCGTCCAAGTTGTAACAAGTATACGGAAGGAAATTAATGTTTACGTACACCGTCCGAAGTGTAACTGCATAATACATGTGGCCTATAAAATTAGTGATACGGTCAGCAGAACGGTGTATGAATTGTTTAGACATCTCTGCTCTGTAAGATGAATTAGTAGGTCTCGTGACGTTTCGATCTTATCGAATGATGCAATTGGAGTGGTAAATTTACAAGCAAAACAGAAGAATATGGCACCACCGACAGTGACTGTCCGACAAATGCAAGACATCTCTGAGAAACTTTCAAACGGCCCGAATCTTTCTCCGCCACGAAAAACAGCGCTAGTAGTGAGTGAAAGCACTGTGTACTAAAAAAAGATTTTTTTTGTATTGAAGAAAATGGACATTGACAGCGTCATTCTGAAACAGAGACTTTTCTCAGGACAACCGAAGGGAGCATAAGCCAAAACATGTTCACCCACGGGCCATCGATAACGAAGACGTCTGAACAGAAAACCCGGCCACTTCAACCGGACTTCCCAGCAGCCAAATCAGTTTCAGGACAATTAATCACCACCAAGTGAAGTTAACCTATAAAAACCGCTGATGGGAAAGGCAGCACGGAACTGGATAGTTAGGCTATCGCCAACGGGTTCCACCTGAGCCATTGGTCAAGGATTTTGTGAAGCAAGCTCAGACAGCATTGACGACTAGGGAGCCGACTATGGTACGCGATACCCTGAATCACTGCAGCCCCGCGCAAGGATAATCGCAAAGCTTGTACCGAGGCTTTTATGAGTTAGTAAAAATTACACCGAGGAGCTGCAATTCTGATGCTTCTTTCACGGGAAGATCTAGGCAGTGTAGATATCGTTGCGTTAACAAAGATTTGAGCAGAGTGCCCTTTTAACCAATCGAGTTGTTATTCTGTGTACTACCGCGCAATGAGGAACAGCGACACAGGTCGCCCTAATCGAGACATCTGTTTTCTACAGTAGTAAGGAAGGCGATTTCATGTCTGGCCTAGTGAAGGATTGTGTTGTTGCCTTACGTGCCAGTGGCTAAGTTCCGTACAGCCTGTCTTCGGCCGACTGATTCAGAGTCAACTTATGCGGTGATGCAAAAACTCGTCAGCTGACAGGAAGCTCTATTTGCTCATAATCTGTCTCTCCTCTATTCGACTTCAACGTACACCGACTTTAATTACTAGGTATTCAGTCCCACCTAAATATCGATTTTCTCTTCTCTTCTCTCTCAAGATCTTTGGTTCTCAATATATTTCCAGAAATAGAGTTAAGTTTGAGAGTGAAAGTCATCTTTGTTAAAGGACGCACGCATTGCTCCTAACACACCAATAACGATAGACCTCCCTGTTCAAGTTGCAGCTGCGCAGACTGTCACACACACACTAAACTCGATGCCTAAGTGTAGATAAACTCCGAAAATGTAGCCACGAAGTTCTTGTATCTGACTCTCCAGTGTACAGTACGGCCTTTTTGTACTACTGGCAATAATACACCGAGGCTAAACTGTATTTGCAGCTTTGCCCGGAAGGCCCAGATGGCCTTCAGGGCCTTCAGATGGTAATACAGCCGTAGTGCTAACTTCTTATTCTAAAGGGCGATCCATAGAAGAACGTATGCGTCATAAAGGCAACAATTTTTTAAATATGTAGAGACATGTTCGATCGCCGGTGCAGAACGTCAACCACGCGAGTGGCTAATATGCCACGGCAACTCGCCGGCTTTCCCGATTAGCGCCTCGGTCCACATAAAGCACTTCGTGGATATGTTTGCGTCAAGGAATACGATACCACGCGCGGTGTCCTTTTTCGCCGCAGCGTAAGAGGAGGAGATTTTAATATACCACAATAGTTTTCAGAAAAACTACGATGCGGAAACCAATGCAAGATCTTCGAAGCTTACGCAGCAAGTAGACCGCTGGTCCAAGCGAGGTTTGCGACAAACATCTTCAATGCGCCGTTATTCTAGCACCGTGCTGAACGATACAATTTAATTAATGTTTACATATTGGTGCATTTCCAGCTCAGAGAAAGGATACTATTCTGTTGGTGATATTGCCCCGTCATTATAGTGAAGAGTAATGAAGAAAAGCATTTGCTATAAACTAAAAGAGACTAAATAGATTTAAAGCGAGCACGTCATCCCAACAGAGCAACATAGATTCCGGAAAAAATGGTGCACAGAGATAGCGTGCAGGATCCTGACAGGCGACATCAAGAGAGCACTAACCACGCTGCACCATCTGCTATACTCTTGTTCTCCGTATTGCTGAGGAGCCTCCCTAGTCAGTTAAGAGGGCCAGGGAAATCAATCGAAGTCATCAAGTTTCACATATATTGAGCTCCACACCGTCCGCACGCAACAGTCACACACTTGGGAATAACCGTAAGCCTGATCAAGAAGGAGCAGACGAAATTTAGAAGAGGAGGCAGAACAATGGCTACTGACCTGGTACCGAGCCAGGTCTGTCCCAAATCTGATCCCTTGAAGTGTCGAATTAGGCTAATTCGCTCCTGGACCGCTGAAGTTCTGAAAACAGCTGTGCGTAAGATGGAGAGAATTAAACTGGTTTTTCGTCCTGAGGCAGTTTTTAATTCTCCAATTCTAGCTTAGAGCATAACATAAAATTGGGCAAACCAGTCGTTTTTTATGATTTGCTTGACGATTGTTAAAAATTTATCGAGAGATCGTACTGGAGAGTTGCTTGTTTAGCCTCACAAAATAGGCACAACGTTGAATTTGAAAATAATTTTCGATTTTTTTTTTATTTTGTAATATTTCTTAAAAGAAAAAAGGCTCATTTTATTAAATTAAATACGCTCATTTGCAAAATCAAATGTGAAACAACTCAGTTTATATTTTGGGAGTATGCGAATATTTTTGTTCTGGGAGCAGTGTCTTTCATTTATAGGGGTGTGAATTTACATAAGAGATAATAAAATCTAAACCTTCTCAGCGCACATAATTCCTATCTGATTTGATTAATTTCCGGCAAGAGCTTTTTTCCCTTATAAACATAATTTTAGTCTGCACAAACTTATCGTTTCCTGCGTTGTGCTTGCGAAGCTCAAACTGAAAAATCGTTTATTTTCCGAAACTCAAAAAAATTGACACAGTATCGCCTTTACTATATTTTCAATTTAAACAAATTTGTATCAGAACGATTCATAATTTATTAATTAACCATATTATCGACATGTGCACCATATTTGATTGAATAAGCACTTGTTTTCAAAGGGATTTCTTTTTTCTACGGAAGGCAATTCTAACGCAGATAAACTGACCCATTTTAGCATCAACCCGTTCAGAATTTACGAAGAGATTATGCTGAAAGGGTATTTATTTATTTTCCGGACATAACAAAATGAATAGTAGATTTGGAGTAAATAAAATGTCCAGTTTAGTAGTAGAACGATGATTTGTGCTAGAATGGTTTATTGTCGATAACTATGAATTATACTTTTGACAGATGATTTTTATTCTTGGAGCAGATATGTACTTTCTTCCTGCCAATAATTTCCTTCTTGCATAGGAAGGCGTAAAGTAGATTTGGTTAATTCGCAAAATCGTTAGTAGAATACGAACCATTACGACGTAAGGTCCATATTCCTCGATTGGATGGATACCTCCTTCTCTTTTTCGAGTGATACGATTAAATTGAAATGGGGAAAGGAGAAATGCAATAAGGTATAGAAACTACAACAGCGCTTTAATAGAAGATCGGGGGTAACTGCAAAAGGGTATGAAGTACTATCTCAGACTACCGCCGCGTGCACCGTTGAAGGTAAGCTTTGTTTCCACTAGTGGACTATAATCCGTTGTGTAGTTTATATTAGCATTCCGCATACTCAATTCTTAAGGCAGCAAAAATATATTAACGGATTCATTGAAATAAAGTAAGGATGTTGTGGGGACATTATTTTAGCAGCGTTGCTGAGATTGGCATATAGAATAGCTGCACCAACGTAACGTCGTAACGAGCGCAGAATAAGACACTGACTAGATTAAGCAAAACTAATTACTCAGATTATGCAACGGGATGACAAAACAATATAACTGGGCGTCAGGAAATTGCAGCTGAATGCGAACCAAAGTGTCGACTTCGAATTAAGCAATTTTTTGTGCTAGAAGTTAGTGTTACGGATCATATTATAAGATGGACGAGGGAAACAATTGCAGAATAATAGCGCGACTACTAATAATACATGGATGAAGGTGTGACAGGTAACTACTGTTAAGAGACTGGCTGGACCAGAGAAATAGAATTAGCGCAATGGGACAGCATCGTTGGTGCTAAAGGTCATCAGGAAATTCAGCAAATGGTGTAAGTTTTAATGGAATTAATAATAATAATTATAAATTGTTTGCTTAGCTTTAGCGCAGATCAAACTTATTAAAACACGATGAAGAAATCAGTGGAAAACGGTAACGGATGCAGCAGATTGTATTGAAGTTTGTATTATATAATAGTACAGAATTTTGATTAATCATTTAGAACAGACGTGGGGCATGGCCCGCGAATCCGAATATAGCTATCTCTCCGAAGATAACTAGTGTAGCGGTCCATTTCTTCTATATGAGACATTATTGGTACGTAGACTGGTGATCCTGTTGGCATCGAATCACACAGGAATTCATTAATCGCGGTATCTTTATGTAATATAATTTTGCGGTTACTTCGAGTCGTACGCACAGTAAAGGACAACATTGTAAGCTTGAAATTAATACTTTTATTCGATAAGCTCATGAACGAGACAAAGTAAAATGTATGTTTTTGTATTTGAATAAGCCAAAAGGAAAAAGAAGCTTACTATACTATTCAATGTTGCCGCTGCTGTATCTGCTATTTGCTACAGTCGATGCTGTCTTATTCAGAGTATAATGTCATCACATTTGTTGTAAACTAAAATAAATACGTATTCGTATTCCCCCTAAAGCAGTAGCCTTCGTATACATAGATATTTAATAAGTATTATTATAATTGTATGAATTCATAATTAATGGCAGCACATGATCCATATTGTATCTCAAATGTGCCACCGAGTCAAATTATTCACTTCATTAGTCAATGATAAGTCTAGTGGGGGCCCTTGCCGTCATTCATCGCCCTTCCGTATTATTTTTCGAGTGCTGAGGCCCTGCACGACGTACCACCTAGCTCCTCCGTATGAGCGGCAGCTTTGCTATTATAATCAATACTATTTGTTTTCGTTATATATGCAATCATGCAATAATTATCGTTGTCTCGGTTTTCGTGATCGTAATCCGATCGTCCGTTATCCTTTTCATCACTACAGTTAGCGCACAGATTCGGGGTCACTTGTGCTGGACTACTTCCCTGGCAACACTCCTGCGATGGCCAACATCGATATTAACAACTATAGTGATTCGCTTGTTGTGTGACGGCGTTTTTAATCTTGCGAATAGTGTATGTTTTATTTGCAGTCCTTATAACGTCGTCGTTATACAGTAATGATTCTACGAGAGTGCTGTTGTTATAACATTGTATGGAACAAACATATACAACGGCGTTGCTATTTCGTAGTTCTCTTTTGTGATATTGTGAGAGTTATGAATGCTTTTGTACATTTTGAAAATGAGGATTGAATTGCCTTATGTTTCAGTCGTGTCGTGTATTATTTTATTATTAGCACATTATTTATTTTATGAATTGTTGCTTGACGCCGCCTTCAAACGCATCGACACCGTTCTTTTCCACGCGTTCTGCGCGTTAGCGTGACTGTTCTTACCAGCATTGATCTTATAAGCTTTTTATCTGTAAATGAAATCCGAGCAATATAGTAAAATCCGTACAATTTTCTTCGGTCTTTTGAGATTTTCTAGAATACAGAGCTTGTGGGAGATATTTATGCTACTCACTATCTATTTCTTACTTGCTGCATGTTCTTTCTATTTAGTCATCCGTCCAGGGCCTTCTCACTTTTCCGGCGTTCATTCACTTCCCAACAGCTTAACGGTATGTAATTTTTTTCTCATAATAATTCTTAATAATGACATTATAATAATTTCTAGTGTACCCGTAAGAAGACACGGCTAGCTACCCAAATGGTATACTAATACAGGAGGTACTAATAGCTCCATTGTTAAGGGTTCAGCTGCTGGGATTGCGATTAGCTATCGTTCTTCAGCCATGCTTATACTGTATCCACCAAGTCGGCTAAATAAAATGTATATTATAATTTTTGCCATCATGTGATAAATATTACATGATGATGTGTATATGTAGAAATGTGTAAATTAACTCCGGGCTTTCTTTCTTAGTGCCCAAACAACATTTTCTTGCCTCTAAAAGACTTTCTCCGAAAATCCGCCGACAGTATGCCATTCCCGTTCTATGGTCTCAGGGATTTTCTCTCATTATATATATTTTTCATCATTTAGAATTTTTTCATGCATCATCACTGTCGGCTGCTCAAGTTCAGCCCTCAACCCATTTTTGGAACATTCTAACAAGTTCCATGGCGCCAGCTGTGAACGTGGCGACGATCTGACTTCATTGCGAAGCGGTCGTCGAACCATCATGCTTGTCTTCTTCGAGGTGCCTTTCAACGTGGTAGGTCATCACATAGAGGGGGATGTTTGTATCAAACACGTATCCGCATATAGGGCACGGCTGTTTCTGGTGAGCTTCACGCATGTGCGCCTCGTAGTCGAGAATCGATGTTACGCACAGCGGGCAAATGTGCGGGTTTGTCACGCTGTACACGCACGGCAGATCATGAACGGGCAGTCGGATAGACGGGAAAGTCCATGCCGATGAGAGTAAAGGCGATGAGAGATCGAGAAGGGCAAAACGAAAATAGATAACACACGGTTAGTAATCTCGTTACATTAGTCATGCCAGGCTGGGCAGTTACGGTTATATGATATATATCAATTCGTATATTTCTGTAATAAGGAAATACGCTTTAGTAGGGTAACAACAATAATTTAAACACTGAAATGGATATAAATAAAGTATGATCAGATAGCTAATTCAATCCGCACTAAATGGTGATAGCAGCCGACAGACGGACTATATATAATTAACGCATTATCAAATAGTGATTTTTTCATCGATTGTTGACCCGCACATATGACTGCCGGTACACGTATGTACACTGCGATCATATGTAGTCGTCCCTGAAAGAAGCGAGAGACAAAACAACAGTCCTCCGTAGAACCTCGAAACGAACAACCGTGTGCGTGACCACGACCATACCGAAGACGGAATGGAACAAGACCATCTCATTAAACTAAACGAACCCATAAAATAATTCCACATTGCATAGTGTATCCAAATTCATATGGATACTATATTTTTTAAATAACAAGGTTCACCTTCAAATTTTACTTCCGACTGTTAATAAAATCTCCACCTTGTCTCTTCCTCAGTATTCGAAGCATCGGTTTCGAGATCTGAGATGAGTCCGGCCGCTGAGTAGGTATTTGTCGAGCGAGGCACCGCGGATGCGTTGCTGAACGGTTCTTCGGGAGCAGACGGCTTTGAAGTAACTATCTCTTTCTTCTTAGAAGGCGCTTTTGGACGAGGCGGCGAAATAGGTTTCATCGGCAAGGGTGCCAGAGGGAGGACATTTGACGATGCAGACGTTCCGGACAGCACACTTTGTTGTTTCGATTGTTGCTGCTGTTGTTGAGGCAATACAGATGGTTGCTGTTGACGCTGCTGCTGCTGCGCTGTTTGCTGCTGTTGCTGTCCACTGGAACCATTATCTGGCTCGAGAGAAGAGAGGTCTCTCTTGAGACTGCGAAGGGCCTCTTGCGCACGATGCCGTCCGCGCACTACCATTTTTCCCCGGAGAGCACGAAGAGCAGCGCCGGACGTTGCTCTAACATAATGAAGAATTTTGAGGAGTTTGTTCGTGTAGATCATTAGTTGTTTGCGTCTAACACTATTACTAACATACTTATCATTCACCTATATAGACAACAATAGGAAAAACCAAATTAATTCACCTGAGATCTTCGAAAGTAAATCAACAACAGTGTCAAGCATTTAAATTTATTGAACCTTTTTCAGCTCTACTTGCACACCGGAACCGATTCTATACCATGTATAAAATGTAGTAGAAGACCGAGGGCCCTACGATCACCTACCCTGCGGTAGCAGCGGCTGTGGAGGCGGTCCTGCGGACTAGTTCGATCTTCCTTTTCTGGCGTGGCGGCAATGAAAGTCGGCCACTATCCGAACCCAATTCAATCAGATCTTCTTCAACAGACTCCTGAGCGTCCTTGCTTTCCTTTGCTTTTAGGTTTGCAAGCGATGAGTTGTTATTTGACGACAGCGTGGAAGATGGAAGGGTCGCGGACTTGGGAGCGGACGACGGGTCAGCCATAGGAAAATGCGCGAGCTCATCAAACGAAGCAGCTAAAGTAGAGCAAATGGTGTTTTTAAAATATCCGTATGACACCGTGAGATATATGGTCCGTTCATTTAGCCGGCTACAAAGCTCACAAGAACCTTATGCAACAGAAGCTCCGGCAGTTTCATGAGTGAAACAGGACTGACTTTAAATTAGTATATAAAGCATTAGATTCTAAGCTAGACAAGAGGCCCAAAAGTAAACGCCGACTTACACGTTGTACCGAACTTGCTTTTAGAATGTGAGACAAGTGAGGGAACCTGGGTGGTCGGTGCAGGCGCTTCCAAACTCATACCGTCCTTTGCTAAGGACGCCCAATTGCAGATGTTCTCGAGAGCCTTTTCCTTGCGCTTGTTCTCTTTGTAGAGCGAGATGTACTCGAGTTTAGCGCTTTGCAGTCTGGCGATGAGATCTTGCACACGTTCCTCAAGGTCAACTGTTTGGCTGTTGTGTGCAGTGCTCTTTTCGGTTCTCAATTCGAAATCGGATAAGGTCTCTGTGGCCTTGTCCTTTTTCTCCACGTTCTTTATCGCCTTCCTCTCTTGGGCCATATCCTCGTTCTCTTTCTTAAGCCTCTCAATTTCCTGAACAAGAATGTTCTTTGTTTCAAGGTGCGCGTCGACGCAACAACGTAGATTTTCCAGATGTGTGGAAACTAACGAATGCTCTTCTTCCAGCTTGGAGCTTTTCTTTTGTTCCTCACGCAGCTGACGTTCCCGTTCGGTTAGGGCCTTCTGGAACAGCGTTTGCTGATGTGACATAATTCTTTTTAGTTCACTAATTTCATCACCGAGTCTACGACGCTCCTTGAAAAGGTTCTCTACCTTTTCCTGCTCGTTGCTAAGCTTCTGCTTTAAAGTCTCGTTTAATCTGGTAAGCTCCATTAAGTCATCCTTGTACTGATCAATGAATGATCGGAGCTTATCGTTGCTCGTACGTTGCTCATCTTCCATTTTACGAAGTTCGGTTGCTGATAAAACAATTGTCAGGTCTTCTACTACACCTAAAAAACAAATCGAAACCATACAATTGAGTTTACTAATATAACAAAATGTTGTATTTTAGATACTTGCCATAGATTCCACATGCTTTACGTATTACATATGTATCAGCAGCTCTATACGTGAAGTAGACTGAATAGTTGCAAGTTGACTACTCTTCAATAATAATCATAAAACACTTGAGTGGGTGGAACCAGGTATTGACTTGGTTAACTCAAACCAGTCGAACTTCTTTAAAATGAGATACCTATAGAACTAACTTTCCAGAGAAGAAGAAGTTCCAAGTTTACCACCATCGTTGCCAAGCTCGTCATTTTCGACCAGTTCGGGTTCATCTGTGTCGCTACCCGTTCCAAGCACAATTAAACCATCATCACTAAATACGCCAGGCAGCTCGATCATGCATTCCTCGGTAACAGGAAATATACGGAAGGTGTCACTCTCTGCTACTGGATGGAATCGACTCGGTGTGATGTACTGTGCCACATAGAGGGTTCCTTCATCCGAATTATTTTTGTTCTCTTTTATTAGCGCACTTACTGTAAAAACACAGGCCGTACAATAGTTTATTGCGTTATCATTATACCGATTATAAAACAATCACTATACTACCATCGTGTAGTGACTTTGACAGATGTGCATTCTCATTTTTTTTAACAGAGAACGAAATCAGTGTCTTAATCAAAGTAAAGATGTTGTCTTTATCACCTTCCGCAGATACGGAGAAGAGGCCGGGAGCACTCTCGACCTTCCACTGACAGTAACTGAACGTTAGAGCACCAGACAGCACTGATGAATTGAGCGTCTCAAAGTCATCGTCAGTCTTACTGGCCGCCAACGATGATGACATTTTTGACAACTGTCCGCCATTTGTATCGCCACAGCCAGAGGCGGCATCTACCAGAGCAGTGTAGCTGTTGACGGGCAGAATGCGTACCACATCTAGATAATTCGGACAGTGAGCTTCATCTGGAAATTGAAAATGTACTTTGACTTGTTCGTCAATGAAAAACTCTTCCTTTTCCATTGTCTTGAACTCGACTGCTCGAGGCACATCGCGCTCGGCATCAAGTGAAGCAAACGACGAACACATACTTTCTGCCATAGCGCCGTGTACTAGTCGCAGGCAGTTGCGTTTGCGGCTGATTGACCTTGAAAATAACAGAGAAAGTACAACAATCACCTTATTGTACAATTATTATAGACTACAATACACACTAAAATACTACGACACATTAGCTGGTTTTGGTGGTGGTATTATGAAAGCGAAGTCGTAGATGCCACATATGTCTAAGCTCTAAGGACCTATTTACTTACGTTAATTGTGCTGTGAAGCGATGTTCGAAATAGCGGAATCACGAATTCTATTTAAAAGTTCGAATAAGTTCTAAAAAGTTTTCTCGTATTATTTATTTTTCCATATATACATCCATATATATAATCACTGTATTGTATAACTTCCATTCGGCTTGAATCATACATAAGATATACACGGTGTTGATTCATTGGACAATATTACACTCGACTCTAGTGCACTGATTCGGTGCTGCATGCTATTTTTTCTCCCGTTGCCACATAATGGATACTTTTGAGAAAAGCACGCTTATGAAAAAATAACTGGATAAGAGCTTCTCGTTGTGAAATCCTCCTCCTCCTCAGTGTTAGTCATAGGTCGCCATTTTATTTAGCGACGCGTAATAAGGCCGCCATCACCCGTTTGTTTTTGCGCAAAGATATTACCGCTACGATGAATCCGCTTTTTTATCTTATATGCAATAAATAGTCTCGTAATGCATGAAGCGTTAACGTATCAATAAGCTTTTCAGTACCACGATATTCGTTGAGTGGCTTAAATTGGGACCGGAAAATGTTTATTCTGGATGCTTGTGCAAATCAAAGCTGCAACCAGCTCTACCTAATTTGAATCTTGAAAATACATGATGTGCAAAATATTTTTTTTCGTAAGTTGGTACTTTTCATTAGCGTCGATTAGCGCGCGAACGACACTATAATACTGCAATATAGCTTACTCCTAAGAATAACGTCGGTAAGCATATGGCTCGTTTTAGCCTGTTATTATTTCTACGAGGGATTTATCTAGTTATACCGACAACTTCCCAGGATGATTAATCGGAAATGGAAGTTTACAGTGGAAGTTCAACAGCTGTCGAATTTTCATCGGAACGCAATAACACGGCCTACTCGTTAACCGATAAGACTCGGTAATAGATAGAACTCGTTAAGACACCACAATGAATGCGTTGCATAATTATCAAGTGTCCCCGTAATTTCCGTGAATCAAAAAGCAATAAGCGACAACATGTCACCGATAAACCATAGAATGCGAATGCTTATACTTACACCCCATGTACGCGTTCAGCTTTGTGTAATTAAGTATTTACTTTTGGTAGCACGGTAACTCCACATTTCAGTACCACTTAATAGAAAACAATCTTGATTTGAGCCACAGTATCAAAATAGCTATTACTACAGTAACGCTCTCATAAGACTGTTGCAAAGTTTAAAAAATGTAATTCGTGTGTAGCACACGGCCCTACCTGTACGTATTTCAGGCATTTAACTCCTACATCCCCGTCGCTTATAGTACACGGCATACTTAGTTGGCAATAATCGTAGCTAAGCAATGGTGATAATGGTAACTATCAAAACAAGGAAAATATTGTTGTGTTGATAGGACAGCTTCAAGTACTGAGAGAATAACGCGCATCTCTGAAGTCGAGAGCAAATCTACAGGAGAAAAGTGTCAAACGTAAACCAAAGAAAACGGAATTAGAGAATATCTCTCCTTCTTAGCTACAAAGCCACAATTTTGTCTAAATGTCGGAAGTCTCATACCTCGACTTTCAATCCGGTCAATTAAATCCGCTGACAACTTGTGACACAGCCAGACTAATGTAGAACAGCCTTTCACATAAACCAAACCCGTAGCTGGTAAACGCTCTAAAGGAGGGCACAGAATATCACACGACTACTGTTGCTTTTGCGGCGCTGTCGAAAATGAAGCCGTGATGACTGATTCGCACGCGTTGGCGGAGCCCGCTGCAGCGGAGCCCCAGCAACAACACGGAGCAGCGGCAGATACGCTAGCAGAAACTTGGCTTGAAGGAGGTCAACATTCGGAAATATTTCTGGCCAGCCATAGGGTTGTTGATGCTGACCGTAGCCCGCATTGACGCAGCACTATCGCAGCGAACAGCAGTAGTAGCACCAGAAACCATCATCACCATAGTCACCATTGCTGACGTTTGATACTAGAAGTGCGAATAACCCAAGTACCTAGCTGTCAAAATGAGATATTTCTTCACAAAAACGAGAATCATCGATACATTATTATTATCGCCGCTACAGGTTCCTTCATACTTCAAACGATCAATGCAAAGCAATGTATATAACTCAGTGTATTAATAAAAAATTGCAAGCATTTGTACCGAAAAACAGCGAGTAAGGGAGATTCTTAGCAGTATACAGGTTTCAAAAATAAGCAAACAGGCATCAACAAATCTACCGAAAAATGCGCCAGAGGTTTATGGGACAATATGAAAACGCTGACGCAAAATTGGGTAGGAGCAGTAATCCATATAAAATAAGGTAAATTATCGTAAAATGACACTAAATCTGTTATTTTAGCCATACATTTAGGTCCTAAGTTCCTATTTTATAGTGTGCAAGTGTCCGTGTGTGGGGAAGTCCCTCACTGTTATGTATGAATACAACACGTATAGGCCTATGATGATAAGGTAAGTGAAAAAAACGGACAAATCCTAGTTTTGCCCCATGCAGCAGGAGATAACCAGATGCTTCGAAAACGGCATTTTCAGTTCCACATAGACCTGACCGGTGTATTATATGACAGCTGCTTTAGTCGCGCAATCGTCTCATCTAAAATGTCGCATGCGTTGTTAGACGCAAATAATCGAGAATCAGCTGTGAGAGATCTGATGTGTATAGGTAACCACATATCGCGTTATGCCTAGTTAATAATATGCGAAGGTTCCTGTGCGTAAGACTCACAATTTATGTGCAACGATTCCTCTCGTGAAGGCCTTCAAGGCCGACTTTGTGTTTTGAAGTTCGACGTCAGTGATACTCAAATGTCGCAGCTGCTTTTTCACTTGAGAGCTCGTACCACTCGCAGCGAAAGCTGGGCTATTGAACAACGGACACGTTTACAATTGTAAACACTGCTACATAAATCGCCATATCCGCCATCTTGGCGGCGAGTTATCGAAGTTTGAATCGACCTGCGGCGCCATCAGGTCTATCTATTGTCAGCTGTAATGGTGATCGTAGCCAGCCAGCAGCTGCTGAGGAAAGCCCTGGTTTTGACCTTTTTTCATTACTGCAATAGAAAAATATGCTTGTAAGCCAAATAATAACTCTAATTGGAGAATGATCATTCTAAAATAGGTGCTGGGTAGTGTCAAGTTCAGATTTTCAATAGAACACGTCGTAGAAGTACCAGACATAAGTTATTCGCAGAGTTAGAAACTCACCTTTAAAGTTGCCAACCGCTAAAACGAAAGCCTTTCGTTTCTGATTTTGGCTTAACGTTTACTTGACACATTTTTCAGTATGATTTATAATTGTATTCGCAGTGGAAGTCTGAAGTTTAGGTTCCGTGTGATTTGAGGCATTACAAGTTATTCTTTCCGAGATTACTAAAACACATATTTATGTTGGGCTAAGTGAAGGTGCATTAAATTTAGTTAGATGAATAGACCATGTTATCACAGAAATAACGTGACAGCTATTTTATCTGTCAGACAGCTGCCTAGATTAACAGTTTTAAAACAAAAAATTTCTGTAAAAAAATGCGATCAACTGCAAAAAAGCATCTAATAAACTGCAGTTTTTAATGAGTCCATGAACATGAATAATGCTAAAGAAGCAATTTTAAAGATCGAGAACACATATTCTATAAGGAATAATCATTGTTTAGAAATACAGGTTGTGGCGTACCGTTATAGCGGGTTTATTGACGATGTTGTTATATTACACTTCGTAGCAACTCTTGAAAAGATGGTTAAAAACGATAATTTTTAATTTACCTACTATACAATGTTTCACTTAGCAGAAGTATATAACCACTAGATGGAGACACTGATCATGCTGAATATGTGTTTTAAAATTAGATCCTTGTAATCCATAACTTTACATTTAGACATTTGAGAGCAATGGAACTAAGATATAAGCTCTATCCTAAAATAGTTCGATAAGGATTCAGCAATAAGCCATTCTTCGTCATAAATTAATGGTAAGCTTTAAAAAAAAGCAGATATATCATACGTGCAGTTAACATTGACTTGATGTTACTCGTAGGTCCTGCATTAAGACATCTTTCGTGGTCGCTTTTTTAGCCCGAGTTCCCTTTGTGTTTTCTACTGAGTCCCCCAAAGCGAACCGCATTATTGCTGGCTTAGCTTCTGCTAATAAGAGCTTAAAACATATTTTACATATCGATCGACCAAATTTACTTACCCATCTGGGTTTACCATAAAAAAGAACAATATTTGAAATGACTCTGCATATAGCTCAAAGAACACCGGACGGGTGAGCATCGGTCGCTTTGCGAAAATCTTTCTGCGTCTATCCGCACCTACCTAATACCTACACAATGTAAGCGAAGCATATAGCATGGCGCAAAACCGTGTAATTAAAAACGGGCTGATATATAGAGAGATGTGCCAAAGTGGTCTGTAGGCGAGTCTTCGTATTTCATATATGGTAGTTGATTTATGAGCGATGTTAATGACTGAAAATCTGTTTTGTATATATGCATATTTTTTTTCGTTGGTATTGTTATTTGCTCCATATATAAATACATTCTGCGACTTCGCATATTACCAACCAGATGTTATCGCTAGCATGAGAATCGCACGATATAGTAGAGTATAGCTGAATATATTTTGAAATATCAGAAAAAAACTTATTGAAAAATCCTCAAATATTAACAATTAGGATTTTCCTACGTTAGTGATGTTTATTACAAAACAAAGCGTCTCTAAATGAACTAATCTATTTTAGCCCACTGACTATGCATAACTTTTACAAAGTAAAAAGGATTTCATCTTAAAGCTATGATTTATGCAAAATTGACAGGCATTTTTTAACAATAAGCAGGACAGTACAGTCCTGCTTGTATATAATATTAATAATAAGTCATATAATATTAATATGTCATTGTTTCTTTGTATTAATTAAGAATTAATATACATCGTGATGAAGATAGAACGCAAGTTTCGAGTTCCCGAAGCTATTGGCATTATTACTTACTTCGGACCACTTTCAAATGATGAGTCTTTTACGAGACGAAGGACGGAGGCCTTTGTGGATGAGCACGTGGACACCATCGATTACCAGTTATGTGCAAAAGATGTTTGGCATTATTTGATCGAACTGGCTGAGCTTTTGTTTGTGAATAGACTGAAAAAACAATGGATCACATCAACTCTACTGCACAATTCGCGTGAAAAGTAGGATGTGTAAGCCATAAGCTATCTTATTTTCAGCATCATAATTGAAACTGGGATTTTGCAATGCAGCCGAATCATCTTAGTTTGTAAGATTTAATATTCAAAGAAAGGGAACTTCAATTCTCAGCGAAAGCCTGCGTCTTATTAGATTCAACGATAAAACAAATAATTGTGTCATTATGAGAACGGTTCGTGCCGCTTAGAAGCTATAAAGATCAGACTGATCAAGGCATCGTGCCTCGCGCTGTCGGCGTTGCTCGATCGTGGAAATAACTGACAAGAGAAGTAAACGCACTGAGTCTTTTTCTGTTATTTTGTCTTTTTAGACGTTTTCTGAATATATCTGAAGGCACGTTAAGCGCTATCATCTTCTTCTTCTCTAAAAATATTCTAAAAAAAATTCATACGAATTAAATATAAGTATAATTTCGAGCACAATTCAATGTTTCGAAGACATTATTGCGCACATTCGCTTAGTTTTCGTCTTCGAGTATACATTATTGTATATTTTGATATAACTATGAAATATTAGGAACAGTTTGATGTCGAGCATACGTCAGTTTCTTTTAGGATTGCGTGGCCTTTTGAACACTGAGTTGAGAGCTGTTCTGTGCAAACGTAATGATTAACTGTAATTGACTAAATAAATTAATGATAATTGTTCTTAGGTTTCGGAATACACAGGAATATGCAGCCATCGTGGTGATCGACCGTGCACTGAATGGCACAATCTTGTTGGGAGGGATTGAACTCCAGTTGGATAGATACGCCGATAAATAACAACAAGACAATGCTGAGAGAGCAATTAACGCAATTGTCGCACGATTCGGTACTAGAATTTAGTTATATAATTACCGATATTCTGTGAAATGGTCAAGCTTTTAATGCATGCAATGCTTAAGAGTATTTTTAACAACGCTCTGTTCGTTGACATCCCTGTAATTTATTGCGTTCTCCGAGCCGCCTTGAAATACAGTTAGGCTTAGTTTTCTTGATCGTTACTTTCATATCAGCAAAAAGTATTCAGTTGCAGAAATGCTACGGCTGTCCATAATCATAATAATATTTGCATGTATATCATTCATTGATGCGCATCTGCCCTCCGGTTTTGGAGTCGGAGACGTAATGGTAGTAGCCTAAATTATTTCTACAGTTGCCCATCTATGTCGATAAAAATATATGAATTTATTTGTGGTTTTGTTATGATGAAACGACAACGTCCGTTAATATGCTTTAACAAAGATTTGTGTTTTTCGAAATTAATGATTTAATTACATACTTTCTATTTGAATCTAAATTCTTATTTTTTTTCAGAGGTTGTTCTTAAGATATTATATGTATTAGTTGTGTTTTTATTCCCAGGTCTCCAAGAGCTTTCCGAGGGGAAGGTCGAGTATCTCATCCGAACGAAAATCCCCTTGTTTTGGTCGTAGAATGGTTAAATGAAAATAAGCAAAGTTTAACGTATATTTTGAAATTAAAAGCTGTTTCATAATTTATTCTCAGTCAATAGTTCTACGCCAGTTTAGAGAAGCGTTAGAGGCATTGATGAATACGAAGCTAAGGACAACCGCATTAATTCCGGTTTCGTAACACCTGTTATAATACTTTGAATGAGAAAAGGGAACTAAATAAACATCATAACACCACATAAACAATGAGTCACCAATTTAATTATGTAGCTTTGATGGCTTTTATCTGCTAATGAAAGGTTAAATTACACCAAGAAAAGTCAAGTTATTTCTGATTTATGTTTATTTAATAAGAATAGATTGATAGGAAATGTTAGTTTTTATATAATAAATATAATAGTTTTTGTGATTCACCTTATAAAGGTAAATCAACATTACGGACAAATGCAGATTTATTAAAACAAAAAAAGGTGGACGTGCCATAGCTTCTGTGATGTGATTACATATTAGCACAGTTTACTCGAAAATGAGGATTAAGAGGTAAAAGTTACGCAAGATGTTGTAGAACAAGTCAATCCTGCCAGTAGTCGAAAGCAGTTTTTATGCAATAAAATGATAGGCAAAATGATGGTAATGACTGTTCCAGAAATCCGAGTCACCGTGTTATCTGAGTGAATTATATACTTGTTTCAATATATCTATGTTTAGTACGCGTGTAGGTTGGTGTGTGACAATGTGTGAGCGAAACGAAAAAAGACACAGTAAATAAACATAGTGAGTCTGCTGCTGTTTTATTTTATTGGATAAATTCAGCGTTCGTTTTTTATTTTTATTGGATAAATCCAGTTGTTTATTTTCCCTCTGCTTTTTGCCTTCACTTCAATATCCAACTTAAAGTCAGGTGCGTACCATAAAAATATTTTTGGCCACTTTTGAGATGTTCTATTTTTCCATTTTAATGTTCGTCTCATTAGCAACGTACGCCTTATCTTCTACTTACATTATGTCAGGCTCAATTGTGATGTTTCTAAAGATCTGAAGTTTAGCTTCGCTTTTTCGTCTAAGGGTATTTATCCCATATTACGAGACTTCAGATAATAGCAGTACCTTTCATCATTCGTTAACATTACATATTTGCTCTTAAATTTTCATCGTTTTCTTGCTTTTTGTTTATAGAGCCGGCCAATAATACCAATACATGCTCAGATAATTTTATCTTTAATCTTGCAAACTATTATCTAAATGTATATTAAGTTCAGTTGCAATG